CGCTAGTTGCAACTAGTTTGCTCCATCACGAAGCTAAGAGTTCCTGTTTAATGATCATCTTCTAGAAAATAAAACAAATGTTTCTAACCCTGGGACCAAGGTAGTTGCAATTGTTTGTAAATCATTGATCAAACAGAAGTAGCCTCGTGTTATAATAGTGACTAATGTACAATATAAGATAAAAAAATAAGAAGATTGTATAACCATAGCAACTCGGTCGATCGAGTAACTGAGATTTCTCACTTAGTCAGTTACATATTTTCAAAAAATGGATAACCTTCCAACCCTGGGACTACGCTAGTTGCAACTAGTTTGCTCCATCACGAAGCTAAGAGTTCCTGTTTAATCAATGATCACCTTCTAGAAAATAAAACAAATGTTTCTAACCCTGGGACCAAGGTAGTTGCAATTGTTTGTAAATCATTGATCAAACAGAAGTAGTCTCGTGTCAAAACGATTGATATATACAATGTACACGTAATACGAAGATAACAAAGTAATAAATCAGAAGTAAAAGTAATTGAAATACTCTCAATTACTTCCGAGGAAATCTCGAACGAATTTCAGGATCGCGAACGCACGAGAGGCTGCAACAGTTCACGCGTTTCACCCTCTCGGTGAATTCTGAACACGCGCCAAACAATGCCAGCGCTCGAGTAGGATACTTTCAACTGTTCCCCGACTCTCTGACCACTTTCAACGAAGACTGCGTCAACACCATCTCGGAAGCTTCCGACTATCCCAAAACGGAGGTGAATCAATCCTCATACGAGCTTCTACTTTTTCTTTTTTTGCTTTTTAGACGTTTGATAACTAGGCTCGCGACGTTGGTACATCGGTGGAAACGTACAGAGGTAGATGATAGATAAATTTCTGACGGTTTGGCCACTGGCCAACTAGCCGTTGATGTTTGATTCCACCGTGTTATCGCGGTTAGGGCCCTGCGAATTTCCACAAAGAGACAGTATGATACGTTCTTACCTTGGCGCAGGTCCAAGTGATGTGGAAGGCACCGCCGTCAGGATCAGGATGCGTTGTCTTTACGGCTATGGTGCTGGAGAATAACGTGCGATGGTACGCCGAGGACGGTGGACTAATGAAGGCCTTCTGCGAGATGGAGGCAGCCGAGGTCGGGGCCTTCGACGCGGAGAAGTGCTGCGCCTGCGACGAGGCCAAGTACTCGGTGAGCTGTGTCGATTAAATTAATTAATCTCCACTGATCTAGAACTGTTCGTCCCTTTGTAAACAATACGTTTAATCGTTCGAGTAAGAATTTCAAATGCTGAAGCTTCTGAAATTCTTCACTCGGGTGAAGAGCTAAAAAGCACTGGTCGATATTTTGAACTCTTGCAACTTCGTGAAAGAAAATTCGTACGACAGGTCTTCTTCGGTTTTCAAGATCTTGGCGAAGGCCTTTAATTAGAAGGCGTTTCAATTTGCAGAATTTTCGAGAAAGAGAAAATATCTTTGTCTACTGCCTTTTTAAAGTGATGTAAAAATATCTTTGAAAGAAAGTAATTCAATAGTGCGAAAGTAGATCAGTTTCCAGCAATTTAAAACGTCGGCGATCATTCGACGACATCGTCTGCGTTGAGAAGATCCCCATAAAATATTACGCATCGAGTGTTTGATAAAACCGTATCCAGCGAAGTTGGATCGTACTTTCCGTAAACACGTCCGAGCGCGACGAGGATAGATCGAAGCTCAATGGCACGACACCATGAGCAATCGTTTTATAAATCACTTGGCGCCAATCTTACGGTGCTGTCTGCTGGTATTTATAGTA